TTATCAAGGCGAAAAACTGGTCTTCTAGAAAATCAGGTCTTCGAAGGGCTATGGGGAAGCCCCATGGTCGTATTCGTAATCAGCATAGTCGATAACCTATAACCCACTAGATTCCGAGCAAAAAGCGTTTAATCATTTCGAAGGGTTCCCTCGGTAGAAGACGTTCTCAAAGTAAAAATGTGTGCTTTTGTATAGTAAGTTGCTGCTTTCAATTCTGTTAACTTTTGCTTTGCTTCATTTCTCTTCTTCTTCTAATTTCTCATCAAATATCGCTATAGAAATATCAGACGTTGAAAGAAGGATTGAGCTTTTAAAACTGCCCACTATAAGTGTCTATTTTTTACCTCCGTCTTCGTTGTATCCACTGTAAATGGATCTTCATCATCGTCTCCCTCTAATTCTCGTTTATAATCTCCTGGTCGATAAAATCCAACAAATACTTCTAATTTTTCATTTTCACTTTCATCAAGAATATTTGTCATATGCTGCTGATATTCGTGATTTTTTTCCTCATCAATTTCAATATTAAAATTTTGTTTTAATCCAGGCATGATAGATGTACGTTTATCGTCAATATCTATATTATTAATTTTATGATCGTCTTCAGGTTCTGTTATATTCATTGGTAATGTGAGTGGTGACGACATTGTAGATTGATGATGTTGAACTGATAATATTTGTGTCTTTTCATGACTAGATGATAATGATGATGATGATCGATTATCAGTATTATTATGAATTTCAGATGATATAGAAGATAAATAAACGTTTGATTGAACGCTAAAATATATAAAAACAACAACTATCAACATATTGAAGATTATCTATTTTTGATTAGTAACTTTTTCTCATATTTTTTCAGTTTAATAAAGATGAAAAATTTAGTTCACACACATCTTCTCTAGAAAAAGATATATTACGATATCATTGTCGTTCTTCTTTCCTTTTTTTATTTTCTATTTGTTTATTCGTTATTTTAGTTGGTATTCTTGGTTAATCAATAGTCTTGTCAATGGTGTGTATGCATTTGGATTTATATTT